AGCATGAGTATCCATTTTTTTCTCGCACGAAAAGTTGACGATCGCCAATCCAGCAGCGTACAGACGCACACGCACACAAAAACACTTCCACGTCCGTCCACAATTTCGCCACGCACAGCGAAGTAGATTCCTGAGAGCTGCGCGATTATCTTGTGTAAATTGGAGCAGTAGTTGAACACGAAATAAGAACAAAAGGAATGAAATCTAACAAACTCGATCAGCATGGCACCCATGACTCCGGCGAGCAAAAAAGCAACAATGACGCGGATGGATACAGTGCATGCCATGCACATCACAATGAACATTACATTACTCCTTGAGATCAATGGTTTACGCACTTTTCACTAGAACTAAATTTTCCTGAGCTTATTGGCGAACGACGTTTCATTTTTTAACAATTATTGACGCAATGTTATTACCATACGACTGAATGTTTGTGCAAACTATTTTCTTCGTCGTTACTTGAAATGGGCCGCGGCACTCTCTTTCCTGCTGTGTCGACAGACTGGTGTAAGCCACGGCAGGGCTGCAGGGCGCCTACGTGCGCTTCTTCGAACTACGTTCTCCGAATTGTCCACCCATCCGATGGGCGCCCTTTTTTGTATTTTTTTTTACTGTGCGCACCTTTTGCAACCAATGCAGTCAGGCGAGTTTTTTCGTACAATGGCTTCAACTTACTCCCGCGAGCCGAAAAAGCTGCACGTGGAGGACCTTTGAGACAGGCATTCCGTGGAGCTGAAATCACTGCTTCGTGTACGCTGGCTACGAAGACGCGTTTCAGCCAAATTTTCATCTTATTTCGCAAGGACTTATAATGATAATAATATTATTCAATCGACCAATAATCAATCAATCAATCAATCAATCATTTTTAACGTATCCAAGAACAACCACAGGGTTTTTCACGCTGGCGCGCGCGAAAATAAAACAAAAATAAACAATACATTACAGACTGTCCACAGAAAAGCAAATCAATGAAAAGAGCAAAAACGAGCTGTCGAAAAAAATCAATGCACAATGGGAACAACAAACAAAAGAGTAGATATTCATGGAATGGGACTGAAAAATAATGTGGAATATACACAACCGTGCCGAAGGCTTCATGAAAGACGGAAAAGGAAAGAATCTGTGCATATGCAAATCTACGTTAGGACAGGGCAGCCCTCACTGACAAAACAAAATGACTGTAAGCTATGAAAAACATAACGAATCAAGAAAGTTGACGTTAGAGAGACTCGGTATTCTGTAAAGGATAGAGTGTTGAAAGAAGCTGGTAGGTACATGCAACGGTCGATTCTCTCTCGATAACTTACGCAAAGTTTGAAAATTATTACGACCGAGAAGGGCAGAATATCTCACCCTGAACTAGCTTGTAAATAAATAACAGCTCAGCGCGATTTTGCCGGCCATTAACTGATGGCAAATATAATATTCCAGCAGTATTGAAAGGATTCTAGTGAAACGATGGGGGTAAATGCTTATGAAATTTTTCTGAACTCACTCAGTGGCACTACTGCTGGATTTAGCAAGGCCATTCCAAATCAGATATGCATATGTACTCAAGTTGAGCACAACATATCACGGTGTACCATTTGTAGAAGGCTGTAGGAGAACCGGATTCTCGCGAGATGTTGAGCCAACAGGAAAAGAATGAAGGCCTCGCATGGCAGCACATTTAATGCAAGTAGAAAAAATTCAGCATGCTATCAAAAAGAACACCAAGATAACTGATCTCATAAAACTTACATAACGACACAGTATGACAGCATATGGATTTGCTGTTGGACGTTCTGCGAAATACAACAACAACAACATTAATAATAATAATAATAATAATAATAATAATAATAATAATAATAATAATAATAATAATAATACACTCATATCATTCTGACATGGCCGAAAATATCTAGCCACATTGAATGAAATGCCAGTGTCCTGGTGCCCATGAATCTCTATACGCGAGTGTGCACTTGCGCAGTTTGGTGAGTATGTACCGGCATACATATCTTATAAGTAAGTGCACTACCGTGTTGGTGTTGAAAGGATATGTTCGCAAGCAGTTTGAATCGTTACGCGCCTGCACAGCAAGGGGCTGTTTACATAATGTAGAGTTTGGCTTAGGTATCACGCCAGCCCGCAAAAAAATGTGTCATACTAATTGTATTCACAAGGCAATGTTTAGGCTAATCCTGATGATGGCACGTGCGCTTTAGTGACCTCGACCAAGTAATGACACACCGACACGAAATAGAAGTTTTGTGAATTCGGCAGCCTACGTTAAATGTTGCTATAAAGCTTCAGCATTTCATTACATGGTCCATTAAATATGTATCACGTGTGAGTCAGTTGCACCTTTCTTAACGTACATGTCTATGACGTGAGATTTATTTGACGCTTGCAAACATTACAATAAATTAGTTGTTCACTTGTGCAATCACAAAATTTTTGATAAATTTACTATGTGCACAGCCAGGAACATTATATTTAGCCAAAGGAAACGCAAGATGTATTTTTGCAATAAATTAGTACAACTTCCATCTTGAATGTAATCATAATAGTGCCTGCAAGTTGCATTCACGTAAGTTCTTTTTGTTTTTGAAAATACTCCCTTAAGCATTGCACTGCGCATGCAATTTTAGTAAATGGCTGCTGAAAGCAGTCGCAGATGAGGGGTCAACAGGATTAATAGAAATCTTGTTATATGAAGGGAGCATATAGCCATCAAAACTTTCAAATAATCAGAAATTTTGTCCGCCGATGTGGAAGCTAAAAGTGCATTGAAATTACTATTTCTTGCTGCCACTTTAAACAATGCATTAATGTGAACAATATAACTTGCATGCATTTTGTCTTTACATACTACTATATAGGATTGCTCTATAATAATAGCGAGGTTCGGAAGCTTCAATACGTTTTGTGACTTGACACGATTCCTTCCTCGTAAAACATGTCTGCTCTTGTATACATTATTTACGTCGTATTAATTGCAATTTATTGTTTCAAACCTAAAGCCATGAAAAATGTACGAGTTAAATTATACGAATGCATGCATATATGCATTCAACTGAGTTGCAACTATCACGTACACAAAGCTGACCTGAAATTTCGGTTTTTTTGCATGGCAGAAACAACATATATATTTAATACTCCTATTGTTATTAAAAATAAGCAGGTCAGCTTTGTGTACAAATTGTTATATATTACAATTCGCATAAAAGTGTGATCACGGTGCTAAATATATACGTGGTTCATCCCAAATAAGAGAGCACTTCCACATATAAGGACCCACTTGATATGTTATATATGGTGTGGCCGTGCCTTATTTGGCTGGATTTGACTCCTTATATGGGCCAACCGCGTCATATATGGCCGTATATAACCCCATACATGAACCGACTCCGCCAGATATACATCCATATAAGCTTATATCTGGCCACATATGCTGCCATATATGCTTATATGTGGCCACATATGCTGCCATATATGCTTATATATGGCCAGATATAACTTATATATGGGCCATGTATGGCGTTTCCGTAAGGGAATGGCCGACAACGCTCTCTGCGATGCCTGTCATTGCGAAGAGACGCTACACCACATCCTGTGTGACTGTCCATTGTATGAAATCCAGAGACAGTCACTGGCGTCTGCTTTTGCGCGCATCGACAACAGCCAAATATCTGTGGACACTATTCTGTCAAGTGCCCGAGAGAAGACACTGCAACAGAAGGCGACGAAAGCTCTGTTGAAATTCCTACGCGACACCGACTTGAACAAGCGACTGTAACAGCAATGTCACACACCGCGAAAGACAAGACTGGACTATGACCGAGTGTGCGTGCATGTGCTGCCGAATGTGCTGTTTCTATCTTCCCTCTCTGCTCTCTTTCATCTCCCCCATCCCTCTCCCTTGCGCAGGGTAGCGAACCAGCTGCCTATAGGCTGGTTAACCTCCTTGCCTTTCTTTTCCCTCTATTTTCCTTCCTTCCTCAGCTAGCCGCTTGTGCCAGCGGAGCCCTGTACTGACAGCCCGACCATAACTGCCTGGATAGATGGATGAATGGATGGACGAGATAACTTTATAACTGTCCGAATCGATTATTTTTATTCTCTAATGAAGTTTTTGTTTTCCCCTCCGTCCAAACGTCCTACCTTGCAGGTAATGTAGGCACAGTAAGTACAAAAGCAAAACAAGCAAAGATGACTGTTGGCTTCGAGTGCTCTTACCTACGCACGTATTTTTTTGGAGTTGAGTTACCTCAATGTTTTTAGATGCATTGAAGCGAGGAGAAATTTTTAGCTTCGTTCGGTCACTTCGGACTGCACTGTTCGCTATGCCGTTTTTGCGACTTCGCGCAAAACCTCTTCAAATGGGCGATTGGGCAGGTATTTTAGTTTAGGCTGTACGAGGTTTGCACAAAACTGAGTAAGCAACATTGCTTTTCCCTCCGTACAGCTTTATTGCGCCGTAAATTTCCCTATCCCCGCCATTTTGTAGGGAGTCGAGGTCCTAGTCAAACCGGTTCAGCGGCTTTCTGACCCCAGCCCTCGGCATCCGGAATGATAGAATGGTGAAAAAAAAATTTCCTTGACAGTTGACAGTTTCAGGTTTGACTATGCGCACGAGACAGCAAGCTTGTCAATTCGAAAGCATATACTAAAATCAAAATATGAAGTCAATACGGCAATGAACTGCGTATTTTTCAACAAGATACCGATATCATTGTCAATAAATGATACTTCATGAGAAGCAGATTTCTTGTGAATGATTCCACAACGTATGATTCCACATCGTAAGATGTAACAAACACGTTACTTACCCTTCGGCTGCGTTCAATCATGTTATAGATTAGAAAATGTAACCATCGAAAATCTCCAATGTTCGAATCGCTATCAAGTGAACCATCCCCCCTCTTCCTCTACCCCACCCTTGTGTACACACACACTACACACACACGCATACAGACCTGAACACACAGCAAGAAATCAGTCAGCGATCAGCGACGAAAGGGTGAGAATTTATTCATTTTTTTTAGGGCAGCAGGTGGGCGAAAAGTGGCAAACGTTTCCAGAGTCTTTCGTGATCATGCGGGGCTTTTTAACCCCACAGCGCAGTTCAAGTTGTATACAAGTTCGGTGTGCGAATCACTTTCACTTGTTAATGGAACAAACGCCACAATCGTAACAACAACAACAAAAAAACAGAATGTTGCATCTTCCCTTCTTTCGTAAACACTCAGTGAGTAGCGTGAAAATGTGAAATAGATGTTGCGTAAAGAGCAATGTAAATGATGTAGGCAAAACAATTTATGCTTATACTTATTTTTGATTAAGTATGTGAGTTGGTCGCCGCATAGAAAAATAGTATGTACAACACAGCTGCAATAATGGTGCGCGAAAAGTTCACGCCCGTTGGTTTACCGCAGCTGTAAGAACACCACAGAAAGTGTCAAAGCACTGCTACAGTAGCGATGAAATATTTGAAAGATATACATCTGCACTTAAACAAAAAGAGGAAAAAAATACATGAACATGTCCCTTGTAGCACAGTCTAAGCGAATCGCTGGCAGGCACTGACATGCGCAGTACATGTCCATTGCAAACCACATCATCAAGAGAGGCAACACATTTGAGGTTCAGCAAAGTGTGCTAACGCACTATTGCGTGTACTGCAGTAACAGTACATGAACAGGCGTTTGAGAACAGCATTACTGACACGAGAAAATCTCACCACTGCCATATAAACAGCAACTTTTTTTTTGTGTTGAACGACACAAACTACAAAAAAATAAAAGCCCCTGTCCGACAATTACTCGCTTCTGCGTACGTGCAGGTGGACCAAACATAACAGTCGGCCATTACAGAACGCATTTTACCGTAGACTCCATGACCTCTTGCCCGCCATGCCCGATCTCTGAGTCTATGATGTTGCGCATTTTGCTGCAATCTGGGTGTACAGATCTACCAAGTCTGTTGACGACTCTCTATGCGTTATGACTTTCCACTGTACACCTGCGATAAGTCAACCTAATCAATGCCAAAAATAAGGCTCTGACCTAACTCAACCTGGTTCCTCTAGTTCAACGTATAGCAGCCTGTAACAGATTTTGAACCAATATAACGCAACGTTAAGCATTCCTCTCTATGCCTGAACGGATTTACCCTTAGCATAGGCTGCGCATCTCAGATTCACCCAACAAAACAATAGAATGACAAACATTGTGTAGTCAATTTTTGGCAGTTTGCGTCGTACGAGCCGCGTAGAGCGTCGCTCGATGATCGCTGAATCTGCAAGTTGTAGACTCAACCAACCCACTTCATCTTTGTCGCCAATACCATGGCTTTCTAAGATACAAAGTCATGCACTCAATGCTCGCCTAACGTTCTGCTACGAAACCACAATATTATTTTTTTCATTTGTGTGCCCCGATATGCTGAATGCGCATGTGTATGAGAAAACTTGAGAGTTCCTTAATGCCATTCAAGAACGATTGATCGTAAGTACCCAATGGAGGGAGGTAGGGAGAAAAATAGCTGCGAAATGTGTTTAATGCTAGGCACTGGCAGTTGCATTAGCCCAGATAACTGAGCGAGTTACCATGTATTCATCTTGTGATTCGCGCAGAACCGGAAAAAAAAGTGCATCACAGAAAACGAAGTGCTGAGTACTGGCATTGACAATATGTAGCGAACATCTGTTATTAGAAGAATCAATGTTTGGGCTTGTCCTGTGCATTTTGTTTGCTCTGTTGTCCTTTTTAACACGAAAGTATTTAGTGCCGGGGTCCACCAAGACTTCAGTGATATATTTCCGTCATGGAAATGACGTAAAATGCACATCATAAGACTACAAAAAAAACTTAGTAAAAAAAATTCTGTTATCGGGAATAGAACCATCAACCTCTCGGTCTGCGACAACAGACGCCGAGCTTGCTATCCACTGCGTCACGGTTAAACTCTCTGGTAGCTTTAGAAAAGTGCCTTTTTGTACGCCACAGTTTTTTTTCTCATGGTGCTTCTGGTGGGCAGGTCGGTGTCACCACCTGGGAGCGGTTAAGTGAAGTAATGAATCATTATTGTAGCTTCCGCAATTAGTTCCTGCAAAGCGTCGTCGCTACGCGTGCGTCCTCTTCGGCGAGTTTACAAAATTAGCCCAAGCTTCAGCCTCACTGATAACAGTCATGCATATTAAAGAAAGGTCTGCGACACACGCCTGCCTTGCTGTAATACCACGTTCTCCGCTAACGCTCGCAACGCGAACAATCGCGGCCAGGCTAGAACGTGACGCGCGCTGCGTTTTCTTTTACTCCACTCATTGTGTTCAAAAACTCTTTAAAATGCCGCGGTATGGCGGCCAGAGACATTCTGGCTGATGCACCGCTTCCTCTGATTATGCTCTACCGTTAACTGCTACAGCTACCCCAAAGGTTTGTTTAATAATTGACCACAGATGTCAGCCGTTGAGATGGAGATGCACCACCAAACATCAACATGAATGCATCCAGGTTAAACGGTGATATAACGCCAATAGACACTTAGCGAGCTCTCTAACATCAATGTGCAAAAAACATTCAGCCACTTCTGTAAGATACATTTTACGTTCGTGTTATACCATTTCATGTGACGGAGAGATCAACCATGTTGGGTTTTTTTTTTCTTGTTTTGTTTTTCTTTCGTGGGGGTCACGTTAATCACAAGATGAGTTACTGCATCACATAAAAAAACTTAGAAAAAAAACGGACACAGGGGAGCAAGAAACTGCCAAAATCGCAGTCGTACTGCGCACACTGACATCTCGAACGTGCTCTAACAAACAAACATCTCACAAAGACCCAGCACATCGTAATTTCCCATAGCAACTGCACAGCAGTGATGAGTAGATGGCTTGTTGAATTGAGGAACTATATATCGGTCCATAATACGCGAAAAGTACAGCAGCCAACGAGAAAGAACAAAAAAATATCGATAAGAAAGTCTCGCTATGAAAATCACAGCTTGGTCCAGAGGAGTCGCACCAATAGCAGCCTGCACTGTTTACACAGAGCGATGAGAATCGTTCGCTCCTCCGACAAAAATGCCCGCGCGTATGTGAAGAAGGAATGAAATATGTCTTGGCACTACTGTATAAGCTACGCGAAAAGGCAATCGTTACAAGTTAGTGCTGATGCGATCTTTGGACGCGTGCGATATGCTGATTTCCGGTTGGTCCCGGATGCTCAGGTCGTTCCGCCCGTCCACGGCGACCATCGACTGTAAAAGAGATGCAAAGAAGATGAATAATGTCTTATCAATATCAAAAAAAACTTAGCAGCTTAATCATTTCACTGAGGCTGTGTGAAAACGGTGCTAAATTTACCGTCACGCGCGATCTTTCCTTTGACAATACATTTGCATTTCCATCACCTGACTTCAGGGTCATACCAAACTTCGCGTATGTCACTTCCGGTAAGTCATGTGACGTCAAAGTAGTATATACTTTTGGTGTTCATTTTTGATTTCCAGTTAAGGTTCAAGGGAACCTTGTTGGTAACTCTCCCTTTTTCTTGTCTTTTTCTTTGTGTCTGTTTTTCCTGTCCTACAAAGTGTTTATGATGCTTCCTAGCTCCATAATGAACGAAATCACGAAAAAGAAGAATAATGAAGAAAATGGGTGTAAGAGCCACATGAAAACATTGTGTTAAAGGAACAGTAGAACTGTTGATAGTACTCAGATATTAGCATTCCCACGCAGTAATCATTGCCTCATACATTTTGCCATACCATCATACCATTTACTTTACCGTAGTCCTTTTTGCATATCAGAAAAAAACGCAGAGTGAATTATTCATAGTTTGAGAGGCGTAGTGTACTACTTTACCATGGCCTCTTGTACCTGTTTCAAGAAAAGAAGTAACAGAAAATTTTCAGGTACTAAATCTGCTACCCCCTCTGCTAAGTTGTCTGTATAAAGGGTGATTAATTAAGAACTGACCTATTTCATTGGCCTGTAGTTTTTTTTTGTAAATATTCCAGTTTTAGTGCAGCTAAATATTCAGAAATAATGAAAATGTATTGCCCTTTCTCCTATTTTCTAATGCCCAACGCCAAAAAATAAATATTTAAAAATAGTCAAAACCGCTACAAGCTGTGAATACAAAGGGACTTGCATACTGCTGAAGTCACAGCACCTGAAGTCGAATGCCTGCTGAAAGGTAAGTGATCAACTTTTCATAACCTTTGTATACCTTTGCTAGTCGCGCTTTTTATACCACGACAATAAACGTTTTTAATGTTTTACAGGCACAATCCAGCCCCTTTTTGTACAGCACTTCACGGTCTTCGTTATTTCTTATTTATTCTTCATTTTCGATGCTGCATACAAAAAAAAAGTAGAACAGGGCCTTAGATATTAATCTTTCCTGAACGTTTTGCCAACAACCCCAATAAATCGGGCTATTTATAAGAAAACGACAGCCCAAATAAATGAGTCAGCTCTAGAAGAATCCCCCTGCACCATGCGCAGGGGCCGTCAAAGGTTCCTAGGGCACTATTCCATGTATTCCTATGGCAGCATGGCGTGGGAATTTTTGACGGCCCCTGTACATACTATAAGAACTAGTGTAGAAACACGCTCAGTCATCGAACAACATACTTTTGCAGCCTCTTTGTCATCAGGTGGGATGAAGCGCTTCGCCACGCATTGTGTGAAAAGCTCCGGGTCTTGCACTTTTCCTTCATTCATTCCTGCGAGAATGGAAGAACAAGAATGCGAGTCACTAAGACGTCACAGCCCTTCATCAAAGCCAACGAAGCATCAATATCAATAGAACTAGCTCAACATTCTGCAGCCTAAAACACGTGCTAATTATGGGGAGGGGGAAGGGGAGTAGCATTTTTTGCCCACCAGTTTCACAGAGAATGCACTCCCACCCAAGGCAAAAAAAAAAACAATGCATATTTAAGCACTTTGGCGAAAGCTAAAAACGGTCTTATCCATCGTGTAAATGGCGCATTCAGCTTTGTTAGATCCCTATGGTTCGCGATTTTCAAGATAATCACATTAATGTCTCGTACTTTATTACGGCTTACATTAATTTTACTTCTTCCTATGTGCGCTATAAACATGTAATGCGCGTTCCGAAGGACCCAATAAAGTTCATCCATCCATGCACTGTATTACCGTTTTGGCATATCAGCATATAAATAACAGCAAGCTGATTGTAACCTTGAGACATTCCACTACATATTTTCCTGTGTTGCATTCACCAATTGACTGGGTGACTACTGATAAGGTTCGCTCATCAATCAATCATCAAATACTCATCATTCAAATACACTTACACAGAGCGACAGTAACGCTGAAGTAGGTTCATTAAACATCTTTTTCGCGCTTACTACAAAAACTTGTACACTATCAGCCCTAACATGGTTTCAATGCAGTCATGCGCTGCCCAAAAAGTATTCAGAAGCAAGCGGCTACCTGAATATGCCTTATGCAGGTACTGCGAAATTTGAACATTTAAAAGGTTAGTAAAAAGGTAGTAACCACAAGCAAACAGGTAGTAAATGCAGTGGTTACTATCTTTCTTCTATCATTAATAGCGTTTTGCTACCTGTCTACTAAGTCAGTACAATGTTAGTAACTGCAAGCAAATGGGTAGTAACTTAGCGCTTACTACCTTACTTGGACTGCTACTCCCCTTTCGCAACCCACTTACTACGCACATCACCTGACGGTCGGTAGCTGCAACCGTTACTAACTTTATTCTACTTTTCGTAACTAAGTTAAGTTGGTAACTGCACACAAAAAGAATATGAGCATGTCCCCGAACAGAACCCTGATGAGATGCAAAGCTTAAGCGGTGCGCACGGCGTTGACCCGGTTGAAACGGGCGTCGGCGCGGGTGGTGGACAAAATGTTTGAAGCGAAACTTGGTGTACCATTTATTGAGTAAACGCTCGTTTGAAACGCAAAGACACTCGGGGTGGGTTGGGTTTCGTGTAAGTTTCATGGCAGATAAACAAGCCGAGAGAGTCCACTCGACGTGCGGTCGAGCGTTGCGGGCGGTGGACAGGGTGGAGCGAGAGAGAAGTGTGTCGCGAGCGGGCGGAGGAGCCGGCAGTTTCAGGCGCTGCGGCGAGCGTGCTGCGGGTGAGAGAGAGTGACGTCAGCGCGCCCCCTGCAAGCGAAGCGTGCGCGGGAGCACGACGTCAACGCGCGGATGCGGCGTGACTTACTTGGCATCGCTCCAACACTTGCGGCGAGGAGAACGCGTTGAGGCGCGTTCGTACGGACGCCAGTATACGTACCGCTTCACAGACGTGAGCCAAAGAGCTGCTTCGCATCTAATAAGCAGCAACTGCAGCGGTTACTAGGTTTCTTGGAGCATTATAAACTTTTTCTACTCTACCATTAAATATTTATTCTGCAATCATAGTTGGTACCTGGTGTGCGGAGTTACAACCAGGATCGTCTCGACATATCGCTCACTTTTAAGCGAGAACAAGCAAAGTAAATGTTAATGATTCAAGCGAAAAACCATAGTTGATTGATATGCGGTGTTTAACGTTCTAAAACCATCATATGAATTTGAGAGCCACCATAGTGGAGGGCTTCCCAAAATTTCGTTCACCTGGGATTCTTTAACGGGCACCCAAATCTGAGCACACGGGCACACAGCATTTTCGCCTCCATCAAATATGCAGCCGCCGAAGCCGGGATTCGATCCCACGACCTGCGGGTCTGCAGCCGAGTGCATTAGCCATGTGGAGGAAGAAAACGACTGAGAGGCCCTGACATCACTCGTCGTGAAGCCGTGGTGAAGACGAAAGTCGGCCATATTGACTGGGCAAATTTACTCTCTTGTTTACACCCAAGTGCGCAGCTGAAGGCGCGACTCTCTCTCTCCGGCGCGAAAACCACGTGTACTGCACAGCACACGCGTCGTGGCGAACCGAAACCATCGGAGCAGAACCATTGGTGAAATCATTTCATCCGAGTATTAGCAACGAGTAACAGCTCGCCGACAACGAAGCAAACACCAGAGAACGCGCCCTAGATGCACTGACAACAGCGAGTGTGGTGTCAGTGTTTTCACTTCATGAGTCCACCCACTGTTAGACAACACGATAGGCCGTGCGCCGCCTCTTACGGTTGCATTCCGTATCTCGCAGGCCCGGTCACCGTGCCCACTCACCGGCGTCAGCGTTGTGCAACCGCGGTGCCTTTGAGCGGACACTTGAACGCGGTTGCTCTAACGCCGAGAGAACAATGCTGGAGGCGAGTATAGCAAGTGAAACAGAAAAGGTGTTTTAAAATACGCACACGCAAGTTGTTACTGTACACATACCGAACACGAAACTATACGTATGTGCACATGGTCCTCATTGCGTCTTGCTGGCCAAAAGTTTCATCCGTTGTCACAAGTACGAACACTGCACTACCGTGACTGACCAGCAAGGCATCTGTCACGGTTCTGTTTTGTCATGGTGCCCGAACGCAATTTCGCGGAACGCTTCAAATACTTTATCTGCGTGATTCGCCACACGGAACATGGATATGCGCTCGTTCTACGCACTGTTAAGGCCCCGTGGCGTAAAAAAGGTTTTGTAAACGTTGCTAGGAGTGCAATAACTGCCGGGAGAACACTGCGTAGCTAACAACGCGGCACAAAGCACAGATATTGTCGCCACCACTCGGTACAAGACCTACGGAGGCGCACATGCCGCCGCTAACTGCGAGACCAGCTACACTGCACAACACGTTACTATAACAACGTCGCCATTGTGCACAGTGAACATGGGCGCCATGACGTCATTTCCTTCTCACTTTTTCACGTAGTGCGCCGGCTGGGCACGCTCTCTCCTCTCATTCCTTCCTCTGTGCTTAGCCACTAGACCACCGCGGCGGGGCGAAAAACCGTAGTCACACATCTTGTCTCCGCCGTCGGATATGTCTTGTGGTGCTACTTTTACAGAAAATAGGCATGACAGTTTTTTTTTTTTTCACTGCGGTTGATTAACGTTCTTGTGCAACGTCCTAGGGCGCACATAATCATATAACAGGGTACATAGTTATGCAAGAATATTCATAATTATTCATCCTAAAACAACGATGCCCACTGGTACCAGATAAGAGAGTGCTACCGTTGCCATTGCTAACTGCTAATACACTTTGGCGGTAACAAGCACTTGTAACTCTGAGTGTTGCTACATGTTGTGCGGTATGAAAACCCGCAAGGGACGGCACACAGCTCTCCCATAGTAGAGCACCTAGTGCTCTAAATCGTTCACTACTCTACCTAAACACACCTACTTGGTTTTAGAAAAGGAGGTACCCGGGACGGCTTCGTGCTCTCCCATAGTAGAGTACCTAGTACTCAGATTCACTAACAATTTTATCTAAACACAGTCCCCCCTTGCGGCGACCCTGTTGCCTGGGTATGGCTACAATGCTCTAGAATCTCGTTCACTATAGTATGGCCGTCTGCCCAAAACAAATCCTCACTCTCACACAACCACTGGGGGGGGGGGGGGTAGAGGACAGACGTATGGATGATGATGGATTGATGAGTTACGTGAGACAAAGCGCCTTCGGGCGCCGCGTCTCCTTCCTATCTGACAACGGCAAGTGACGTTAGAGGGTTACCGTATACCTCTGACACCTTCTTTGCCTCATTAAGTGTGAGGCCCACGGAACGGCTTTATGCTCTCCAAGTACTCTAAACCGTTAAACACTTTTACTACCCCTTCCCCTACCGGTACAGCTGCTCTCCCCTAGTAGAGTGCGTATTGTATCGTACTTTAAAACATCCATAATTTAATTTAAACATAATGAGCTGACACACCATGAGGGCCTACTTCTATCCCGTATAGCATAGTACGATAGGTACTCTGAATCATTCACTTTTTGTTCTAAACTACTACGTTTTTTTTAGATTGTACGTTCGAAAATGACCGCGCACGTACGAAATAGAGACAATAAAGATTCGCAAATGACAGCATCGCAGATCCAAGGTCCACCGCGCGGGAAGCAGCACCTGTGAATAGGCTGACCACGGTGCTCGTGAAGACGGTCACCACGAACCCCAGCACGGGCACCAGCAGATGCGATAGTCGGTAGAAAAGCTGGATACCCCTGGCAAAAGACAGAGAAAGACAATCGTTTGGTCGTTAGATGCCTCCTGAGAAGTCTAAAGCGACATCCATACAATGAGCGACATAGCATGGAGGGTCACCGAAACAAGTAAAAAACATGATCCATTCATCCATTTTCAGCGCGCAGCAGCATGTTCAATGCTTTCTCCGAGTTGTAATTGAATCAGCCTTTGCAGTGTGTCACAAGATACAGCCTCTTGGTTAGCGTATTTGGTAAAATGATCCCCGCGGCAAGGCGTAGGCAACAAGGCGGTAAGGCGCAGTGGAGAAAGATTCGTTTCTCGAAAATTCGTATCGACCCATTCGTTGCTTCATGTTACAAATGAGCTTCAGCTTCCTCGAACCTTCCTCGATCTTGCGAGCTTCTGTAGGAACTGACACGTCGGCCCTGAAGGTCAAGCGCTTTTGTTGCTTGAGCACGCAGATCAATAATATCAACAATACCTGTGTTTTTGCGGAGCCCTTCACGTCGTATAGTGAAGGTACCTGCATATTTCGACCATCTGCCGTACCTTAACGTGCACTGATATCCTACAGTACACGGACGTCCGACATTTCGCCTCCATCAAAATGTTACCGCCGCGGTAAAGATCGAACCCGCTATTTTCGGGTCAGCAGCCGAGCCCCGTAGCCACTGTTCTACCGAAACAGACCCACGCGGTTGATTGCTTGCTTAGCCTTTGCGGGTCGACAGTTTGGCAAAACTGATCTACGTACTGTGATCGAACCTTTCTATTCCGTAACTTGCGATTTACGCACGCATTGTTACTATGCGCGCCCACATCGATATACTATTTGCATCAGCAATTAGGGACTGGAATTTCTAAGTGAATTCATTGTTTATCAGTGCACGATATAATTGTTCACAGAACTCGTGAAAGGAGCTGCTTAAAGGGACACTAAAAAGAAACAATGAGTCGTTTTGGATTGATAAACTGCACTTTAAGAACTCTAATGTCATAAGTTTCACTGTCATAAGTTCATTATTAGCAGAGAAAATCAAGGTTAAAATGGAAATTTTCATTTTTCAATTTCGCGCCGTGACGCAAGACACTCCACACTGTATTTTTCGCGACATTAGCTCGATGAAATTTTCTAAGACTTCGTATGCTGAGTCTATGGCACCCACAAATTACAATGTACTTGAATTTCATCAATTAGAAGCTACGTAGGACACAGTGCACGGCTTACTTTCAGTGTCATCGCACATAGCGACATCCCGTGGTGACCAGAGGAACTGTGCAGCTCACTGCGATGCTCACATCAGACAATACACATTCATGAACTTGAGTATATGGCATCATTTGGAGAAAGAAGAGAGAAAAAGGTCTAGCTGATTTCGAGAATTACACTGAAATTCCATGCCGCGTGCTGCGCTATACTGTTTGGCTTGCCTGTACTCGGGAGCTTCGCCCATCCATCGCCAGCGTTTGGCGATCATAGCTAAGAAGGGCTGCGTCTAGGGTCCACTCATTTATTTCGTGGCATCAGGCCCGCTGAATTGGTAGGCTCACTTTGGGCGATCCGATGCGACGCTGTCCACGGAAGACTCGTCGCTATAGAAGTCGTGCATCGTAGTGTTGTCGTATTGCTCACAGCCGGAGGTCGACGTAGGCAGGTCCTCATTCAAGGGCACGCTGGACAGCGAACCCACGACCACCCACAAGCAGAGCATCTGACCGAGCAGCAGGCCACACAGGGCACCCTGGAGTTACCGACAAAAGGAAAATACAAATGCAAAGAAGGTGAAAAAACCACGGGCCGGGCGAGGAATTTGAGTGACCTTACAGGGACACTACAAGAAAATATCAGGTCAACATTGATTGTTGAAATAGGGGATCACAAACCTCGTAGAGCCACTTTTGCACCAAGGAAGTGTTTATTTTGAGATAAATTCACGTTTTAACGGTCCGCATCGCGTTAGCGTACATCAGATCACCTGCCTAGAAGAAGTCTTTCTCACGTCGCTGTTGCAATGTCTAACGTTGGCAGCCTTCACTGCACGGTTGCCAGTACTACTGGCAGCAGAACGAAAGTAGCGGGAGCCACAGCAGCAACAACAGCCGTTTAACAATTTTCTGCTTGCTCGGTTCAACTCGGCCCTGCTAGACGACACCACCTATCTAGTATAACCAGGCAAAAACTGAACCATTGAACCCCTCGCGCCATTGCCTATAGTAACGCCAGGCGATTCTTTTTTCTATAAATCAAACAGAAGCAGACAAACGTCATTTTATTATACGTCTCTTGATGCGCACAAGGCTCTTTTTTGCATTGCAACTAGTTTAATTAGTAGTGATTAATTGTAGTCGGGCGGTCTCAATTCATTGAGATTATTCCCAGAATGTCCCACTAGTGGCGCACGTGGTTTAGTGCATTTATCTTAATTTCTCGGTAAGTAGGACAGTGCTGTTGATAATATTTTCGTTCTTGACGTTGTCATACTTTAAAATCAAATAAAATCAAGTTTTATTATTTCATAATAAGATGTAGAAAAAAAGAATATACACAAGAAGGTCCCATAGTGTACACTGAAATGGCACCTCCTATTAAATGTAAACACGAGTATTTGGTTAGCAACAACAGTGCGAAACTAAGAGAATACAAGGTTTAAAAATGAATTACGGACACATATAAATGACGATGCTCTCATCAACTAAATGCAGTCGGAAATATAAATTATAAAATATGTTTATATAAATAGCATGACAAAAAAAAACGAGAGACTGAAAAGAGAATGACATGGCGAGGGAGAAACTGGTTAGACGGAAGAGTGAGTTTTCCCTCTGACATAAATTGTTATTTACCGTCAATGTCCCTTTAAATGAAGACAACGTAGATATTATATCAGCAAACAGAGAGCTCAGTTAGCCGCCTTAGTATTGTGCGCCTAAAAACGGTATATATAGCTCAGAAAACCCTCCGCTCGAAACACTGGCTTTGTTAAAAACAATTATCGTAGTCATCGTGTCCGCCATCCCGCACCACATCTCAAAACGTACGAGAAGGCACCAGGAAAACGTGAACATTCGCTCAATAAAAAAATAGAACAGAGAGACCCGAATTCCCTCCGCATGCTCCACACAACGTCGATTCCCAAGGCACGTGGGATCTGCCGAATTTTTGTCTTTGGGGTTTCCGCAGCTTCCGCGACCCCGCTGGAAGCAGACTACTGAGGTAACGAACAGTGTTTGACCACTCTAGTAAAAAAAAAAAAATGGCGGCTTAAGTGACGTCAATTTACCCTGTATGAGAATAATATCATCTGAGGTTTTACGTCCCAAAACCACAATACGATTATGGGAGCCGCCGCGGTGGAGGGCTGCGGAAATGTCGACTATCTGTTGTTTCTGAGGGTGCGCTGGCATCGCACAGCACACCGGCCTCTAGCATTTCATCGAAATGCGACTGCAGCCGCGGCTGGGATCGAACCAGCCAGTGTTCCAGCAAGGCGGACGACATAGCTTGTCCTTTTATGCTGTGACGGGAATATAGGCAGAGCTTTGACGACAGTCAGTCAGCCCCCGCGCTTACACGCAAATTAATAAATCAGTTGACACGAGTGGGGAAAAAAAGCGGGGGGAGGGAGTGGGGGTTACTCGTACCACTGATACGTTTAAGCAACTCTGTGACCTTCGAACTGCCACCTCCCTAACAATTCAAAACGCGTGACTCTCTAGAGCAGCCACTCAAGCTTTCGCTGAGGGCGGAATAGACAAGACGACACTGCGAATATTAGGCGGACATAACCAATCACTCCACCGTATGGTACCCGGCACACATCGGCAGCCGAGGGGGCAACCTGCGGAACCTCAACGAGACCGCACACGAGGCGGCGCGAAGACTGGGCTGGCCCTACGTCATCTCCTGACGCCGACCTCCGACGACAGCGTAGCTCTGACCTACTGGACTTGCCCTACGCCATCTCAAGACGCCGACAAGAGCTCTCGCAACTGATGCCCCGTTACAGTGTACTAGAAGGGGGCAGTGGGCTCACTCTCCGGCGGAGGGTATGCAGAGGGGTGGCTCCAGAAATGTCACACGTTTGTGGTTCTCTGGTCGCACGAGCGACGGCGCTGGCATCGCCATCAATGGAAGAAGTTTGGGAGGGGCGTTGCAGCGGAGCCGGTTGTGAGCCGGTCAAGTCCTGCAGAGCAACATAGTTTCAGCCACGTTGTGTGGCTGTGGACATTGTTGCGCCGAGTTTTTGCCGTCAACTTTGAGAATTACGCACCACGCGAGATGACAGTATGCTTTACAGTGCATACTGTAACCATGCCGTGGCAACGGCAAAACCATTGTTAGGCACTTGGGTGTCTAACAGGCAACGTGTTCGTGAAGAGTAAGCAGGACCTGTCATTGTTTGGCATCCTGAAGGATGAAAACGGGCCGAAAGAATGCGAGAAGAACCAGCACAGAGTGGACAAGCTTCTGGAAGACACCAACGCAGTTTGCGAACTCCACTTGCAACCACGTCTTTAGCTTAAGGACCATGTCATATTATCGATGGAAAAAAAGTGCGCATACCTTTACCCATTATCCACGCCGAGGCTGTTTTTAACTTGTTCGGCTGACCAACTTTTGTGACAGAGAAGGCCTCCTTAATCCCTCGAGTCAGCTGTACAGCTTCATGAAAAAGCTCGAGAATATTTTCACAGAATATTTTTGCCAGAGTAAGCTGCACTCTGACAGCATGGACATACTGGCAATTGTTCAGCGCAGACTCTTGATTGAAGTTGGTTGCAGTGTGCACGCAGCTACCCTCACAGCGAAAGTAATTACTTTTTACGTTGTCGCACGTCTTCATTCAATGTGAAAGGACTGAACACTGACAAGGCAGGGAAGCGACAGAGGGCCAAACAGCTGAAGATGAGCCGTCACACATGAAGTAAATAAGGTGTGTAAATCAGTGGCCAGATGGTGTACTTCAGCTCTTGCAAATAAGAGCTTCGTGTCAGGAGCAGAAGCTTCGTGTGTATCTTTATTTAGTTTTTCACTATGTCGCTCTACATATGTCTAACATACATGTATCTGCATAATTATGATTATTAATAACCCCCAGAAAACTATTGTACCATGGTCTACAACTGAAGGAGAACAAAAATTATTTAAGCACTACAATTTCACTTTATAATAAAGGCGCAAACCCAGCCAGCACGCCTGCATGTTAAAGCTTTTCTAGGAAGCGAACGGGCGCTGTTTTCTAATTATGTCGTGAAAGGGCGGGCATAATCTTGTTACGAATTCCTTTTAGGTTCGGTCTACACAGCATGAACCATACGTTTGGTCATTGCATCAAACCATATAATTTGTGGGATACATCATTCTTTTCGACGATGTGTTCTATTCGAAGAAACACGATGTAGCCTGAACAAATATAGTGCTTATCAGGAATACTCAACTAACTCAAGCACACACCTTCCGAAACACACACACACACACACACACACACACACACACACACACACACACACACACACACACACACACACACACAAAGCGTTATCTGCGTCGCACTAGAAAGGAGAATGCACAGACTGCGCCGGGTACCATCGGACTAATTTTCGGGAAGCTGTATCGCAAAATAAAAGGAAAACACTGTAAAGCGAGAGCACCAGAAGCTCCTAATATAATCAGAGGGCAGTCAAAACATGCAAGTTTATTACAGATATCGAATAAATGCACGTTCCAACTTTTACGAGCGGCCATCGGCGAGCAGCTTCTGCAGGTAAAGCTTCAATTGAAGATGCCTGTGGCGCCATCTCTCCTATGTGACGCCAAGTGCGTCAGAGTAGCGGCGCAGTAAGCCCACTGCCCTCTTCTAGTTCACTGTAGCCCCGTCCTCGGACTTCTGTGACCATGTTTCCATCTTTCCTATCTCTCCTATCCCCTCGATACGTCCTCGCTCGCTGGCTTAGCGCATCTCTCTTTCTCTATACCTTTACTTCCATCCTTTTAATCCCTCCTCACCCCCATCCCCTGTGAGCTAATGTTCGGGTGTCGCACCGTGATGCAGACAGTTACGGGGCTCACTTTTCTCTTCCCTTCCATCTTATAACCACTTATATATAAGACTCATCGACCCCGTCACTCCGTTTTCCTCCACTACGCTGCACGTGGTGTACAGGGATCAGTCATTCACTTTTGACGAAATCATGATGCGCTTTTATCTAAGCCGGCGAGAGCTACTCCCTACCAAATAAGAAGTTAACGCGCAGCCAGTCGGTCACGTTGCGCTTGCTTCAGACGATAGTTACAGCGCGAGAACAGAACGACGACACAGACACAAGAAGGACGCGAATGACGCTCTGTGTCTGTCGTTCTGTTCTCGCGCTATAACTATCGTTATGCCATAACAACTAGCCCAAGCTGCCACACTTCCAAGTTACCCTTGCTTCAGACCAACTCATACCCCAGTCCCTCACGTATTAAGTACATCAACCTACGTCAGATAAAAATGTGTCAACAGTGTCGTGAACGTGTAGATATGAACCATATGCTCTGTGGTTGTGCATCAAGCGACACTTACGCCCAAAAAAAGGTACGGCGGGCAAAACTGCGAAGAAGTGCTTCACTATAGCAGACCACGAGGCCCGCAAAGCGGCGGAGAGCTTCGAGCTCCCTGTCCCGACGCGGGAGATGCCCCCCTACACCTGGCGTCCAGCCGGGCGTCCTTCAGGACCCCTTTTTGGGTAATAAAGTTTC